TAGGCAGCAACAAGTGTAAAAGTATATTTGCCTGGAGATGACTGGTATTCGTTATTCGACCATGAATATGGTCAGCTATTTGCGAAGGGCATGCACACTTTCCCCGCTCCGTGGACTTCCTTGATTCCAGTTCTAGTCAAAGGTAGCATTTGGATCAACTTTTGATTCAAGAGCTTATCCCGCCGAGACTGTTCCAGGTGGTTCAATATTGCCTCGTCAGAAGCCAAATGTCACGACAAAGTACGCTCGTGAAAACCCATTCGAACTATTGGTTGCTCCTCTCAAGGAAAACGGTGTGTTTTGCCTTTATTTTTCGTGCCTAAAAGACCAATAACCTCCCAGATTTCACATTTAGAGTACTCAATTTCCAATAGTTCAAAGTCTTGCGTAATAGTGTTGAGAAGATCCACAGTCTCCTTTTGGAAACGCTGATCTATTATATAGAAATACAAAATTTCGCGCTTTCTAGAAGTGCTCAGATTGAAGTTTTTATCAGCATGTCGTAAAGATACAAGCAGTTAGATGTAACGCGTATGATAATTGAAATTTCGATCGCTATTGCAGAAGCGTTGAATGGACTATTCGAATTTCAGTTTGATTTTGACGTCAAGGTCTCCTTTTCTCTCTTCGTTCAATATTTTTATTTTTGCATGATGAAATTTCTAGTATTTGTATTAACAACAACATTATTGAATGCCATTGAATATTCACTGGGTTTGATAGCTTCTTTGAGCTCAAACATTTGTAGGACGGATTTTTCATGTTTTTGCTGCGGGATTTGTATATCAAACTAGTACTTAGCACGAGCAAATGCAGCGAAAATTTCTTGAAATTCCAGAGTTCTAGAAGATGCGACAAAATGTATTAGAAAAGAAAAATCGAAATTCAAATAGGTTTCTAATGAGAGTATCGGGTTTGAGAGCCGGGAGAATTGTGCGTTCAGACTATAATTATCAATTAGCCATTTCATTGAAGCATAGTCTATCCTTCGTCTATTGTAATCATCTATAGTTGGCCAAAGAATGGTTCAATGTTTTTAGAGTACGGTTTTGCTTCTGGGTTCTTGTACTGGGACAATGGTGATAGCATTGTCGATTCATTCACAACACATCCCTACTATCATTGGACTTTCCGCTACAGTAGCTCGAGTGTGGTTTCCAGTTTAGTAGTCACAATGCATAGAAAGGCTGTAAGTTTATTACCAAATGTTTTGATTTTTTAAACAATATCTAATGCTTAAAATTTCAAGAACGCCAGCTGGCTAGTTCCAACACTCGATAGAATAGAAGTTCTCAACTACAATGCTTATCCCGATTTCGACAGCTTCACACTGAACGCTAATAAGGTAGAAAAAGACATTTTTACGAAGGAAAGCTACAAATAACATTACTTAGAGTTTATTTAAAGCTATACTGTTCCAAAAAGACGTGCCTACTCTTTGATTGTTCAAAATTTCCTCGTCATGGCATTTTTCGAGAAGGTTTAGGTAAATTTCTGAAAGTTTGTTCCAACTCAGATTTACAGCAGGCAAATTACCGATCTCTCTTCATTACTGTAGGATTACAGTAGGAACTCGCAACATATGGCGCCACTGTGATGCAGGTCGCTCGAAAGCTTTTCGAAAAAATCTGAAGATTGTAACAGGTTTTCCTGCATGCTGATTTTACTAAACGGCTTTCTGCGCATTCGCAGGACTTTTCAAATGTCGTAATCAATTTTTTATACGAAATTGGTTGCAACATATATCTGGCCTAACTTATGTACAAAAAAGCGTTACGAGCGCGAGTGTCACTTTTGAAATGAACGGCTCTGATTAACCTAGTGTAGGAGGTGAAGTTTCAGCTTACTCAGTCTTTCTTCAGAGGTAGGATATGACCCTTAACGAGCAAAACCTTCGAGTTCCTACAGTAATGAGGAGAGAACGATAGCTTGTTTACGTCGATCTAAGGTAAAACCAACTCTATAAAACGGCACTCAAAGCTTCTCAACTTCATAACAAGAGAGTTATCAGCAATCAAACAGTAGGCACACTTTTTGGGACAGGCATAATATAAGCTTAAATAAAGATTTGTTTTAGCTGATTGATTATATGAATTTTCTGTAAAGGACTAAGTCATGTACACAATGACATGTGTTTACCCTCCACCTAACTCGTACCTAATAGGGCAAAACAAGGGGGCAACGTAAAAATGTTTACTAATGATAATTTGTAAGTTTTGAATTGCAACATCTATAGAATAACAATATTATCAACACCTCTAGGTAGAGAGCAGGGTCATACTTTTTGCCATATCGCCAAAGAGCACTTTATGATGCAGATTGTCATGTTACATTGGGAATTCATTTTTAGTATTTTATTCCAAAGCATAAAAGTTCCTTAAGCCATGAAAAAAGGTCAAATGTATTCTTTTTGGCAGAGTAAACCCACTGATTTAAGCTTTCTGGTTCTAGATTTTTTCTAAAATGGTTCAGTATTAGTTGTGATGCTGCACACTATCCACTCCTAACTCCTCTAATTCTCTTTACTAGATCAATGTTCTGGAACTAAATCTTGTTAACTTAATTTTCTATAAGGGCTGAAAACTGGCACCATTCTACAGTTGAAACTGAATGATTAAGATTTACATAAATAAGGAGGACTGCCGCTATGACGAAAATACGAAAATTCTGTACATTTCAACGAACAGACTCATTGACATTACCAACGGGCTGACAAATACGTTGTCGTGGAGGAACAAGATTATGGTGGGTTTCATAAAACACCCCATGGGTATTATCAACATAAGCTTTCCATATCGCCAATAATACACATTCGTAGGAAGAGGAGGTACGATTTGACTGTCATCCAGAGCCAGACGCTAGCGCAGAGAAATGTAGCAGAAGGGACTGTATTTGGAAATCGAGTACTGCTTACGTGAGTCATGCTGACATGATCACCTGGATGATTCTCTCCAACAAAGTGTTCTTGCAGATAGGGGTTCCATGGTGTTTTATGAAACCCGGAATTGGCTACAGAATTTTGTCTTCCAGTGAGAGCGTGAGTTTTCCTTTTGAATTCTTGTGACTCTGTGATAAATCATTTACAGAAGACTGAACTGGTGAAGAACAACGGGCCAAGAACTCCTTGGGGAGAGGATATAGGTAGAATTACACTGACTTCAAGCTACATCGGAAAAACTCTAAATGTCAAGATTGGTGTGGAAGGACGGTGAGAATCATTGTTATAAAGCTCCACTGAAATTTACATTAGGCTGCGAGTGCAGTGCAGAAACTTCTTTGAATCTGCTGCTTTTAGCCGTAAATTAATTGAGACAAACACTGAGTGGAAGGTTTGTTTTTTTTTTCAAAGATTATTCTTTCCACAAGTGCAAAATTTTAAGCGTAACTTGCTCGAAAAAATCCATTTTGTAGATCAAGAGTTTTGACCAAAAATCTGGTGGAAATTTCTTGAGTGTGATGTTTTGAGCATGCCGTGTCTAGTAATCTGTGCGTAGATTATGTCTGCCATTTTCAGAGAAATTAGCGAAATTGAAGAAATTATTTGGAAGTCATGACCTCATTCCGCTCCGCCATTCTTACTAGAAACGGGCCCACCGGATATCAATGAAAATTCTCATCCATCTCACCTTTGCATGCTCACAACTATAAACTGAATTAAAAATGAATTGAAAAAACCTGCTGTTTTTTTAAATTATACAACGCAAATTCTTTTTGAGCATTTTGTAGCTTGCTCTTGGAAGAAGTACTGCTTGAGCGCAAATTTTTTCCAAAATTGGGGAAGCGGCTTAGAAGTATGTAAATTCTGCAAAAATATTGTACCAGCCATTTTCTTGCTGGTGTATGTCGTCACTTACACTTTCCTGCATTTATCTACGGAGGAAGTAATAACATGAATATTTTCAGATATGAACCACCATTAGGTCTGCCACGCAATCCTTCTCTGGGAGGAGATAATTTGCAGGTAAATTCGTGCAGTGTTGATACCTGCACTTGACAAAACCTGAGAGTGCAGCTGCCGAGATCGTCATTCATAGAAAAAGTTAGCAAAAAGTTTTATCAGCAATGACAAGTACCTATCCTTGAATACGAATCTTGTACATACGCTACATTTTCCTATTGATTTCTACTTCAATGAATCCTGCATGACATCCACCTTCAAAAAAGCTTACGACATTC